GTAGACAGAAAAACAAAACAGATAGACAGATAGATAGACAGAAAAAAAACACACAGATAGACGGACAGACGGACAGACGGGTGGATGGATGGATAGCGTTCGCCTGGGCCGCGTTCGCCCAACTCCGGCGCTGCAGTCGAGGCCGCGTTTCTTTTGTCCTTCGCTGCGCCATTGTTGTCGGGCCGGTGTTGCCGACTTGGCGGGTCACGGATTAAGGATGCACGCCAAAGACCTGCAGGAGAGCGACAGCGGAACGGGCGAGGCGGCGCTCGTGCGGCCTCGCGAAACTCCGGTGCCGGCGGGAGGGGGGGTAGGGGGGGTAGGGGGCAGACAAAGGTCGAGGACGCGGCTCGAGACGCTGCGAGGAAGGGCGGCTGCAGAGAGACGCTTCAGACGAACGCTGACAGGCATCGCTTAGGCTGCCAGATATTAAGCCATAAATTCCCATTGGCAATCTGGGTAAAGATGAGGACAAAATGATATTGAAAGTAAGAAATGAATTATGTTATCATCATCCACAATCATGAATACAGCCTTCATTATGATGCTCACAAGAATTAGAAGAATTACTAGGATAACTACATTTATCACAACGACAATTCTAATCGTAAAAGAAATAATGATAATGCTGTTCATGACGCAGTTATCATGATTATGTATATATATATATATATATATATATATATATATATATATATATATATATATATATATATATATATATATATATATATATATATGTATTTATTTATTATTTATCTATACACACATACACACACACACACACACACACATATTTATATATACATACATACATACATGTATATATATACATATATATACATATATATATATATATATATATATATATATATATATACATATATATATATATATATATATATATATATATATATATATACATATATATATATATATATATATATATATATATATATATATATATATATATATATATATATATATATATATATACATATCTATATTTATTTATTTATTAATCTATATACACATATCTATACATACATACATACATATATATATATATATATATATATATATATATATATATATATATATATATATATATATATATATATATATATATATTTCTCCCCCCCCTCTCTCTCACCCCACCAAATTCCTCCACGGCCTTTATAATCCTCCTCCCTCTCGCTCTCGTCTTCAGCAGAGGGATTAACCTTCGCTTGGCGCGTTTTTCAAGTGATGTATAAAATTTTGATGAAAGATTTGTTTTAGAATCTGATTTCAAAAGATTACAAGATTATTTAGTAATCTCTTGTCGTTTATCTTTTTTACAATCCAAACTTCCTCTTTGGTTAATCCTCTCCATACATGTACACACACACACACATACATGTATATATATATATATATATATATATATATATATATATATATATATATATATATATATATATATATATATATATAGATAGATAGATAGATAGATAGATAGATAGATAGATACATAGATAGATAGATACATATACACACATATATACATATATACATATATACATATATACATACACACACACACACACACACACACACACACACACACACACACACACACACACATATATATATATATATATATATATATATATATATATATATATATATATATATATATGTTTTAAAACAACAACAGTAGGAACTCAAATCAGCTTTGTAAATAAATCGCATAGACACTTTGCATTAATCATATGGAATGAAGCGCTAAGCCCAAAGGGGATTTCGCACTCGCAGCATAACTCTCAAACTCGTTTTGTTCCCCAAAAGTCTGAAATTGACCCTGCCACACTCTACGGGCTGCAACCCACGTTTCACTAACAACGAACTATGCTCATTTCAAGCCTCAAAAATGCGGAGACTCGTCTCGAACAACAAAAAGTAGAAAGGAGAATGAGGATATTGATATTTATCTACATGATTGATATCAGAAATAAACATGGGAATGAAATCTATACATAGATAATAACATAAAAATGAACAAGCTCCAGCCATAAGCTCGAAAACAACTCCATATTTCGCAGCGCATTCCATACTCCCTCAGCACACGTCCCCCAAATGATCTCCAGAATGATAATGATATGAACTTTAATCCCAATAATTCTACGGAATTCTTACCATTAATGTTAAGTGCCCAATAATTTCCCAGTTACTATTTTTTCTCTTAGGCGATTAATGCCTGCAGTAACATCAGGGTCAAAACTTTAACACTAATTCTGCTTTACGTACAGCGCTGTGTGCGAGTTACTCTTAATTACCTTTATTTTTTTTTCTGACGAGATGTTTGCGATATATCTTGATATATATTTATCTGCATATACATCTATCTATCGTTATTCTATTAATATTTACGCGGCTATCTATTCATCGATTATGTATGTATGTTAGCTCACTCATACGACCATTTATTCTCTTTCAAAATTCTTAACTATAACGCTCC